GAGACTCCAAAAAAAAAAAAAAAAAAAAAGACTACTTTCCATTTTGCTTTTGTCCTAGAGGAAAAATATTCCACAGCCTAACAGACAGTATTACCCAAACTTTGTCTTCATTTGCTCTTTTTTCTTGGCATATTTCAACCAGCAAACGTGAAAAACATTGCCCAGTTTTTGCCTCCTGACACTCTTAAATACTTCACTACTTATCTTGAATCCCCTCCTTCTTGTGTCTGTCAAAGTACCATATTCCCATCCACACGGGTTCAAACTGGTTTGCTTCATGGATCTATGACACAACAGATCAAGGGTTCCACTATGATCAAGACATAATATCATTGCTCTTTGTTTCTAATTTTGAAATCCTATGCTAAAGAGAGACAGAGAGAGAGAGAGAGAGACAGGAGTAGGAGGGAGAGAGAGAAAAGCAATCTACTTTGACATGATTTCTTCTTTGGTCTAATTTGAAAGCCAGTCTTCAAGAGAACTGCTTATTTTCTAAATGCTTCTTCACTGCCTTTCTGGAAACTTTTGAAGTTCCACAAACCATACAACATTAACATACATGTTTAACATCCATGATTTTAAATGGCAAGCTCACAAAAGTACTCTCAGGTATTTAATTTACATTCTTTTTTTTTTTATTGAATCAGAGTCTCACTCTGTCACCCAGAGTGGAGTGCAGTGACACGCTCCCGGCCACCACAGCCTCGACCTGCTGGGCTCCAGCGATCCTTCCGCCTCAGCCTTCCAAGTAGCTGGAACTACAGGGGCGCGCTACCATGGCCGGCTAATTTCTTGATTTATCGTAGAGATGAGGTCTCGCCAAGTTGCCCAGGCAGGTCTCGAACCCACGGGCTCTGGCAATCCACTCACCTCAACCTCCCAAAGTGCCGGATTCCAGGCTGAGCTACCGAGCCCGGCTTAATTTACATTCTTGATATCCACAAAGTGTATAGATTCTCATCATAATTAAGGTCAAATACTTCAAATTAGCAAGAAGAAAATGAAATGCCTGTTAACTGTGTGGTGCATTCTCACTGTCTTCTTTCTCCCTTTGAATTGTTCACAGTGTGGGCCACATTTGTCCTCCTCCTGGGCATTTAAATAAAACGCTACCCACTCAGTAAATAAAACGCGACCCACTCAGACCAGAAACCTGAGAGGTCTTCCTCGATTTTGTCATCTTCTCTACTCCCCACAACCAGTCTTTCTGATGCCAACACCTTAACATCTTGCAAATGTGTCCCATTCTTTCCTCCCCGCTGTTCATTACACAAAATTCAGGCCACATTATCATGCCGCTGGATTATTACTACACACGCCCCATGGTCTCCCTGCCTGCAGCCCTCCTCCATCAATCCGTTCTTTAAATGTCAACCAGAATGATTTCTCTAAAATGAAAAACAATCATCTAACCGCCCTGTGCAAGCTCTTTGAGTGGCCTCCAGTGACCTGAAAATAAAGTTCATCCTTCCCAGCACAGCTTACGGTTCCTCTGGTTTTATCTTTTGTTCCCTAGATGTGCTCCAGTCATGCTTTATGATTAGTAGGTTAGAGTACACTTTTTACTGCACTGCTTGAACCAACTTCTCTGTGTGCGCCCATCTAGTTCCCATGACTGCTCCCACCTAGATGACACTTTTTCTTTTTTTTTTTGAGTTGGAGTCTCACTCCGTCACCCACACTGGAGTGCAGTGGCCGCTCCCGGTCACCGCAGCCTCGACCTGCTGGGCT